TCCAAGAGCCTTCGCAACCCTTTTCAAACCTGGGCCACAGGGGGAATGACTTCGTGTTCCTGGGGATTGCATGCCAATCAGCTCCAACAACCGCTCTAGCCTCGCTTGGGGAAGCACCTTGGTGCCTACATCAGCCGTATTTTGTAGTCCGCTAATGTGCATAGCCTCCCACTCAAATTGCGAGATTTTTTCTCTCAAGGCCCCTGCGCGAATGCGCAGATGCCGGGTTCGCCATGAACTGGCCTCTGAAACCAAGATCGCTATAGCGGCTTGATTATCATTACGCAACACCTTCCGGAATTCGTCAGGGCGATACATTTCAGACAGCAGTACGGCGATGGAGTCTCCCAGGTTGCATCCCAAGACGGTGGATATCAACTCAGCTTCGCAAGTCGACTGCGCAATGAAGGCCTGGCGAGAACTTAGCCAATGTACGCAGCAACCCTTCCAAAAGATCACCACGCATTCCTGGCTCCGCAATCCTTCCGGGGCGAACCCGGCGTCTGTATGCACTTCAAGCAAGCCACAACCAACGGAGCCATGTTGAGCCTCATCTTGACAAGGCCTAGGATTCGCGGAGAAGTACAGCCCCAACTCAGCAGTCTGAGAGAGATACCCAATCACGCCCAATGCTCCAAGGTATGCTTCCTTTGGCCTGCGGCTCATGATTGATGCGATCCTGGAACAACTATACGCCAAGTCGGGGCGAGTACGAACGGCAAGCCACAAAAGTTCACCTGAGGCCTTTTGGCACAATTTGAGGTGCGCTTCATCGGGCTCCGGGTCGCCTTCTTGAGGCAACGCCCTTGCGAGTGGGACGGATTGAGGCTTGAAGCCTTCATGGCGCTCCAACATATCCTTAATGTAAGAGGCCTGGTTAACATACAAGCCTTTCCCTTGAGAGTCCCAAAGAAGCTCGAAACCATCAAATCGCACCGCTTGTCCCTCGCCTTTTCGCGGAACACGCTCAAGAGCACCGCACTGCCACACACTGACAACTTGTTTGTACAAGGCTTCCAAATACTCCCAACGAGCGGCACCCAAAAAATCATCAACGTAGATAGCGACCCAACCCACAAGTCGACCTTCAGAGATCGGAGTAGTAGGATTTGGCAACTCCACGACAAGCCAAACACTCGAATCCGACAAGCAAGCCTTCAGTCGCAAAACAACGTCAAGAACGACGACCGTGAGATCAACCAAGACTTCGTTACGGTGCAGGGTCCAATCCCTTGGACTGGTGTCAAGTCCGTAGACTGCAAGGTCTACTTTCCACCGCTCACCGGGCGGAACCAAGCCCTTTCGGACCAGGGATTTAGGTGGCATGGCTACCACGATCTGCGCCTTGCCTCTGGCCGCAGCCCTCAAGTCTCTGGGGCGCGCTGGGACGTTGAGGAACGCAGTAGCTACGTCCCATGTCGCCAGCGCATATCCGCAATGGACCGCTTCTGCCAGCAGGAGTCGCAACAAACCAACGTCCACGCCTCCAGCATATGTAGCCATCTTGCGTTCCAGATTGGATTCACCAAGGTTGGGCAGCGCATTGCCGCAAATGACGATGCGGCACTTATGACGGCCCGTCACCGCCTTTCGTGAGTAGACGGTCTTTGATGGCACAACGGTTACTTCAATGCCCTCAGCCCTCCAACCTGCGATCTGGGCATCATCGGTCCTTGACAACGCACGCTTCGTGTCCAACAACGACGCAAGCTCACCGACAGTGCAAGTCTCCCAGGGCTCAGACCAGTTAGCGAGGACCTCCTCATTTGAGAAAGTTCGAGTTTGCAAGAACTGGGGAACCTCAGTCAAAGTCTTTTGATGGTCCTCACTGCCCTCGTCAACACAACAAGCCCTCAACTGAAGCAAGGCGTTCTCAACTAACTGCACTTCGGACGACCAGCACGCCAACAACTCAGCGCCTTCAACACCCTCAAGAGACTGTCCATCCTCAAGGCCCTTCTTTAACAATCGGTCATCACGCTTGATCACCTGCTTCAGGGCGTGTTGATGGCCATCGGTCTCCTGAACTGCGGCCCCAAGTAGACTCCACTCGTTCACACCGAAAACAAAAGGCAACTCGGAGGCAACTAGCAAGCTTTCACCGCCATGCACGTCCTCGCCGGTATGCAAACAAGCACTTTCAGCAGGAACCCTGAACACGCGAACAAACAAGCGTTCCGAATCCCCGGCCTCTTCCCAAGACAACCCTTCAACATCAACCACGCACGGCGACCCTTCCACAAGGCTGCCAGCAATTGATTGAGCTAACTTTTCCGACACCTCACCAGAAAGCCCTCCGTTACTGGACGGGCTCCCCCGGTGTTGCGACTGAACCCCTACACAAGAATCCAGAGTCCCTTCAGGAGCTTCTGAAAAATACTGAGCACACTCACCGCATGCCCGATCCATACACATGCAGCACTGAGCTGCTGAGACCTTCCGCAGGGCCTCGGACCCGGCGGCGTCTAGAGGAGGATTTTTCCCATCCCCACCGGAAAACAACTCATTTTTATTTTGATTTTGGATTTTTTCATTTTTTGTTTTGTTTTTTCCTTCCCTTATGTGAAACACTTCGCTAAACACCTTCTCGTGACTAACCCCTCCCCCCTGATGAGCATCATCAGCATGCCTCTGCAACACCTCACCGGCACTCTCCCGCTTAGGAGATACAAAGGCAGGCGACTCACCAGGCGGAGCCAGTAACTTCGGGAAACCCACTTCGTATAAATGTTGACACATGTCAGGGGTAGCCTTGTCAAAGACTTGAAGAGAATACGCAATGATCAGCAGGACCCTACTTTTCGAAAAAGCTTGCGCCGCATGCCAACGTTTGGCATCAAGGTACAGAGGACATCCCGGCTCAAGCCACTGCAAATGCCCTGCAACCTGATTGCCGTTGGGAACAGAACGAAGCTCTATTGGACCACGCACCGGATCACCCTGAACCAACTCAGACCACATGTACATGCCATCTTTTGGGACACACACTGGGAGTACCAAGTTAGCCTGAGGGACGTTATGAATGTCTCTGTGGGGTGGAACATTTCCGTCTTTAACAAGGGCTACTGTGGTGTACCTAAAGTCAGGCGCGCATTGCCTCAGCGTCCGGGTCAAGAGGGTGGCAAACCCAGGAAGGACATCGACACTCCTAGTGACCCCTACAACCCCTCCATGTTTAAAGAAGCCCCAGACACTATGTAAGATGTTGCGCGTTGACTTCATTGCACCGATATCCTCGGATTGAATCCAAGCAGAGTTCCGAAGGAAACGAAAAACTCTATCAAGATCAAAAGGCTCGCGGCTGGCCAGAATCGCTGCGTGTTCATCCTCACTCATAAAGAGATTACGCAAAACAGCAACCCTAGTTTTGGCCCTCAAACGGTGCGTAGGCGGTAGCCGATAGGGAGAGCCGTCTCTCACATGCATCGGCGGCATAGCATCATGAACTACTGTTTTAGGGACCTCGGCAGGGGGATTAGGGCACGTAAGCACATCGCGAAAGATTACCGACGTAGAGTAAAACTCATCAGCATCGGTTCTAATGAGCCACGTGTTAGGAGCATTAACAGCTGGGGCGAGAACAGTGGCGGGCACTACCTTAGCAGACCATTGCTGGCTCTTCCACGATCTTTTCTTGACGTAGACCCTACATCCAAACGGAATCATGGGAGCAGTAGCGTACCCTAATCGTTTCAAGCTCTCTCTCAAAGAGGCCTCTGCCGAGTGGCGCCAAGCTAATGGCCACAAGACTTCGTCAGTCTCAGTTGCTAGCAGCTGTGTTGTAACCATCTGCTTCATGCGACCGATACTAGCTTCTACCCGGCCATTGGCCTTGTAATCATCACCGGAGGTGCTGCTAACAAGGATTCCTCTTTCCGCTGCCCAAGCGTTGAACAAGGTATTCGAGAACTCCAACCCTTTATCGCTGTGTATCCTTTGAACAGTGTAGCCAAGAGCTCTGATACGGGCCTCTACCTTGCGAACCGCAGTAAGCACCTCCCCGCAGTTTTTAGAACCCAACGCCTCACTGAAAGTAAGTTCAACGACAGGGAGCTTTTCAAGAAGGTAACGGCCCTCATCATCTAAGGGTGTCTTATCAGGCATCGGCCTGACAGCCGCAACCGTCGTAGGCGGCGCATCAAGCATGTCGTCGTCGGGAAAAAGGTCCTCGAAATCAGGTGACCAGTCGCACCCAAAGTCATCGAGGCCGTGAGGCTCCTCATGATCTCCCTCAAGACGCACACGGTTAGAATCCCCACTGTCTTTTCCATCACCGGCCCCAGCACTTGGATCACGTTTAATGGCTGCTAAGTCCGGAAGCACGAACACTGCATGTAGCATGTGTTTAACACGAGCCAACTGTTCGGTGCGACCTTTACGAAACAACCCAACCAAATCGAGCGACAACACATTGACATCAGGAACCGGCGACCGACGATGAGGTCGATCACGACTCCTACCTTCTACACAGCTTCTGCATCGCTTCCAATAAGGTTTATGTTCTTGGCTAATGTGTTGCTTCATTCGGTCCGCATCGGTCAACTGAGCAAGCACCGGGGGCGGATACTGTTCGCAAAAAGTGTCTATGGCATCCGCCACAGCGTCGATAAGGCCCGGTGCCCAAGCCGATCCCGCATAGCCAAGCTCAGACGCTCCACCCTCACCCTGAACCGGAACCCCTGCGGTAGCCACAGTCAGCCATTGCAGAGGAAGGTTTGTGCCTAACTCAGTGGGTTTGACGTTCGCATGTCCCAGTGCTCCCTGATTGCACACTACTCTCCGAAGACCTAGAGAACCTTGAAGATCCTGAAACTGGGGAGTCGCAAACAAACACGGGCACAACTCAGGGTTGGGCATTGCTATGTAATCGATTGGATCCCTCGGCTGTTCGATCAAGCACCCAAACCTTCCGGATCCTAAAGCCACGTTGGACTGATGAGACATGTGTAACAACGCAAACATTCGCACCATCAAGAGATTGTCATTCTGCACCCTTCCATGCTGTTGGGAGCTCAAATCAGCAAGCCCCCAAAAAGCTGAGCCTGAGCGCCCCCGAATCGCAG